TAGCATATTATGTCATTGACTAATATGCCCTTCTCAATGTATACCTCTTTAATGTATAGCTTACTGTTTTTATTAATGTTAATGCTCTCTTATTATTCAGGGCACTATGCCCATTCTGTTTTGTAACCACATTCTTATGCATAATGTGCTTCTACACCCTACCCTGTATTTATGTAACCATCCATCACCTTGTAAAGTGCAACGAGCACTGGCATACAGCCACCTTTATTGTACGCATTGTATTCAGCTTTATTCAATTTTATGTTCCCGGTGCTTGACAATCATGTGATACCCCCCTTACTTTCTTCTTTCCCACTTTCCTTTAACTTTCATCCCCCTCCCTCTGCACCCCTCCTTCTTTCCTTTCTCAAACGGCTAAGTCGCAAGACAGCCTACTAATCTATATTACAAGTGTTGTTGTAACGTCCTTTGTCAATGAAAATGAATGTTGGAAGTTTACTAAAAAGAATTATGTAATTACGTAATTGTTAGAAAGACCTGTCCAAGATTAGACTGTCAACTAAGATATGGTTTATGCAAAGTTTGTATACATGATTTTAGCTGGTCTTGTAGTGATTTGTTGTATGTAAAAACAATTTGTAAACGTATACATTACTTGAAAATTGAATACAATGGAAATAAGTACTGGAGAAAATAGTGGTGACTATAACTTTGAAGGAAGTAATGACAAAGTAATAGTATCACTTGAAATGCGGACAGTCAACAACTGAAATTGGAAGTGAGAGATTACAGCTGAATGATGATGCAATGCAAACTTCAAGTACCAAAACAGAAATGCAAAAAGAAATTTTCAAACAAGTTTTGGAAGCCAGATTAGTTCATGAAACAGACATTAAATAAAAGGTTTTTGCTACAACACAAAATTTACTTAAAGAAATTCAAAACTGCAATGAGAGCATAATTTTGGAATAAGTTAACAGATGAATTATCTCAGATTCTGCCAGTGTTTCAAGAAAACCAATTAGAAAAAATGACGGTAATACATTAAAAATAAAATAACCTCTAATGAAAAATTTCAGCATCAAATACAATAGGGCCGAAAAACCAGGCAAAAACAAAGATGTTTACACATTTCCTCAACTGAAATAAAAAGAATTCGAAGGTAACTAACAGAATTACGACAACACTGTAGTACGTGAAACAAATCTGATGACCAACAAGAAACAGACACAGTCTCGTGGATACAATGCGTGCAGTGTGATTCTTGGCATATGTTTTGTGTCTCACAAGTCAGTAACAATTGATACTACAAATTTTACATGTAAGCCATGTTTGTAAGGATTGTAACACACATTAAAACCTTTCAAATTCATGAAATCATCAAAAATCATTATTTTTCCTATTAAATTCACATTAAGCACATTAGAAACATTCTTAAATATATAAAATCATGGTTTTTCTATAATAATTTTTTATAACATCACGTTTTTTATTTATATAATTTTTTTCATTTTCATATTTATAAATATTAATTTTATAATTTTTAAAACATGAAAAAATAAATATGAATGTGAAACTTATAATTTGTAAATATGAAACTACTAGTAAACACATGTGTGTCTGCATAATGAATGTGACCAATAGGAGCGCGGCAGGATCTCAGGCTCTAGTCGCTTGTAAATAAACAAAGATTGACAGATATAACACGAAATGCCGGCCTTAGGCCTTACCTGTCCGACTTTCTCGAATAATTTCTTCAATTTATAGAAAATACGAATAAGTAATTAAAGCCGCTTCGTCTAGAACAGTTCTTTTAACTTATTTCTATAAAAGTTCGCATTAAAAATAAACGTGCGCATATAAATAACGATTTTCTGGACTATCATCTACCCCCTACTACCCATCGCTTCGGAAATCCATCTACGAAAAGACAGGACCGCACTTAATTTTATGTCGCGTATATAATCTTTTTAATTCGTTAATTATTGTTTAAAACTTTTAAAATTTTTGATAAATCTGATATGTAAAATTTTATTTCTTTTTTAAAATTCTTTTTTAATTCGTTCGTCTAAACGATTTAATTTTTTGAACATTATTTAATTGATATGTAAGCTATATTATTTAATACGTTCGATATAAATTTATTTAATATACGCAAGTAAGTTAAAATAATTCGGGTAATGCTTTTTTTTAAAATTATTTCGGTAAACAGTAAAATTTTATTTAAATTGGATAATGATGTATGTTCGTTATGACGTCAGTGGCAGCGTATATCTGTAACTGTATGCATAGAATTGCCACTAGGGGCGCCCCTAGCTGTTATTTAAATTAACAATAAATTCAGTTTTTCGCATAACAACATTAAAATAACAATAAACGCGATTTTTTTTGCGTTTTTGACTGCATTTTAGTAGGGTATGCCATGAAAATTCACATTAAGAAGGGATTTTTTAAAATTCCCCCCACGAGAGAGAGAGAGAGAGAGGGTTAATGATTACACTGAAAAACTTGGCTTCTACTGTACTATTTTAGATTCGATTTTTTGCGTTTTTGACTGCGTTTTAGTAGGGTACGCCATGAGAAATTCAGTATATTATTTTTATTTGTAATATGAATTTATTATTTATACCACGGAATGACACCGCTGCTGCTATAACGCCCACTACGGGGCGCCCCAAGCTACTAGTGTTATTTGATGAAAAATTTTAGAAAAAATCCGTTTTTTTTAATTTTTTTAGAAAATACAGTATTAAAAATGACTTACTGCTATTTTTAAAAATTCCTATAAATTAGTCAATTTTTTTAACCTCCCGGCCTTTTTTCTCATCCTGCAGGTACTAAGACGGTCTCTTATAGCAAGCCCATTATAAGTTTGGCCAAGCCCACAATAAAGGGATAGGGTGCTGAAAGACGGGGAGCCAACATATCCGAACGGATCACACTGCGAATTTTTTTTGAAGATTATTTAAATCCGTCCGGATTTGAACCCGGGTTACCCAATGGGTAGGTTGTACCTTGACCGTTCGACCTTAAATGTTTTTTTATGCCGCCCCGTCACGGTGCCGCCAGATGCGGCCGCATCTCTGCATCATAGCACAGCACGGCCCTGCATATGCCGATGAAATAATTTGCTCTGGGCATTCTCGTAGAAACATAGAGATGGAGCGTGGAAGCCTACTGAAAGATGTAGATCAGTGGGGTAAAGAGGCCAAGTTCGTATTTAATCCACAAAAGACAAAAATCATGATATTCGCAAAGGACTTTACCTCGGCTTTGCAGAAGAGGCCGTCAATTATAAGAATGAGGAATGAGAAGATTGAGGTGGAGAACAACATGAAATACCTGAGTGTAATTATTGATAACAGGTTGAGCTGGAATATGCATGTAAAGCAGTTAAAGAAAAAATGTAATATAATTTTTAATAAGTTGGCCCAGGTTGCTTATGGGACCTGGGGGCTCAAGTCAGAAGCAATGGAATCTATATACCCAGGGTGGCCAAGCTCCTTGATAGTCCGAGCCATTTTTCAAAATTTGAAATTTTTCGCGAGCCGCAATTAAATACTGTACGTATTAAAAAGGTATGCAAAAAATTCCAGATTACAAATTATACCTATTCGTAGCAAGAGTGATACAAATTGTTTCCTCCAGAGCACAATGTGAACTGTCCATTGCATTTACAGTTTACAAATTCAAAGTCGGTCTGGAGTCGATCGATAACGGACGATTTCGCCACTGTTTATGTTCGTTCGCGCAGGTTTTCATGAGTCATATCATTCTTAACTCGGACGGAAATGAAATTTGTTACAACGTTGACTTAGTCTTTCATATTTGTTGTTAGTAATTTAAAAGACATTTTGAAACACATAAGGAACGATAATAATTTTTAAAAATATAACAACACAAAAATGAAAAGGAAACTCGAGTACATTTATCGAGAGCCGCAAATAATTCTTCAAAGAGCCGCATGTGGCTCGCGAGCCGCAGGTTGGCCACCCCTGCTATATACGATGGTATGTTTATACCAATAATAACTTATGCAGCTTAGGTGTGGAGTGATAAGGTCAAAAATATAAATCAGATGAGGTGCCTTAGGCAGGCTCAAAGGAATGCTCTTTTCAAGCTTACAAGGTGTTTTAAGACTACATCTACAGAGGCTCTTATGGTATTGGCGGGAAAAGCGCCTCTTGAATTAATAATAGACAAAAGAGCTCAGAGGTATTGGCTAAAGAAAGGCAAAGAGGATAACGGGATCGATATTCCAATTGATTTAAATAATTATGAACGAGATATCTTAGTAAAGGAACTACCTCACTCAGCTGAAAGTGTAGGGGTAAGGCTGCTGGCTTATGATCTAATTAAGACTGATATATATACGGACGGCTCTAGGTCTGATTCAGGCACTGGGCCCGCTTTCGTAGTTTATGAACATAATGAAGAAATTCATCGTGACAAAGTTACATTTGAAGCATATTGCTCCAATTTTCAAGCTGAGTTATTGGCCATACACAAAGCTGTTGAATGGTGTATAAAACATGAACGGAAAGATGGTGTCTGTATTAATACAGATAGTCGCAGTGCTCTTCAGGCCCTTACTAACCGTAAATGTAAACATCAGCAGGTCTTTAGTATTCAGAGAACACGGTCTAATAGAGAAGTTTTATTTTAAATGGGTCAGAGCACATGTCGTTATATATGGGAATGAACGGGCCGATTTTCTGGCCAAAGAATCAGCCACTGGTAATGAAAAAGTGTTTAACACAATTCCACAGTCCTGGGGAAAGGAGGCATTAAAAAGTAAAATTATAGAAAAATAGCAACAGATTTGGAGAAATAGTATAAAAGGAAGGAAAACCTTCGCCTTACTCTCAAATATTGATGAAAGACTCTCCCATCTTAAGTGTTTTGGGAGAGAGCGTGAACTTATGATTTGTCTTTCGGGACACGATGGCCTTGGAGAATATAGGAGCAGGTTTCATTTGGATGAACAAAATGAATGTGTATGTGGAGAGGAGATAGAGACTTTGGACCATTTTATTTAAGATTTCTTGTAATGGACATTTGAAAGACATTACAGTATCTTGAAATGGTTGTATTGGAAGAAGGGTTACGCTGGCCCTGGTGTGTACCAACTAATCAGGAACAAACATACGTATAGGCAGCTCGTTACCTTTTTTAAGAAGATCATACAGAGCAAAGTAGCTCGGATTAAATTGTAATTAATTTTCCTGAGCAAGTTGCTCAGTGGTTTTTTTATTTTATTTATTTATTTATTTTATTTATTTATTTTTTATTTTTTTTATGTTTTGTATAATTGTATTTAAAGTATAAATCACTGTAAAGAACATTGTATCTAAGCCCCGTTATGCAAAAGTGGTGCGGGGAAAAACTGATCCCCATTAGGGAAAATTATGATTCCCATTAAATGTATATATACGTGTACGTTTGTATATATACTGTTTAAACAGTATACAGGATTGTGATTTGTGAACTATTAAATAATAAATAAATAATAAGTAATTAAAATTAAAAAAAAAAGTCAGTGGTATCATGCTCGACGTTCCGAACACCATTGTCAAACTTGTAGGCTTACAGGAAAGTGGCGCTGAATGTCCGACGTACACGTTTTCACGTTTTAAAACTTCGGCCTCAACCTCGCTAATCTATATCTATATCTATATATATATATATACAATAGAACCTCTATTATCCGGATTGTTCAAAATAAACAAAAATTTTACCAATTTGCTGATTTGCACTCGGCGTATTACGATACTGTTTATGTACGTGATGGAATCAACTTTTTTCTTTCAACAACGTCTCACCCGGCACAGTGGTCGTAAATTCTTAAATATATTTTGCGCCGTAATAAAAATATAACTTGACATACATATTTATAAATAATTTATATTCAAATTACATCATTTCTATGGCCAAAGGCGGCGTATGGGCAACGTGGGCGACCGCCTGTGCCTCGCGGTCCGAAGGGCCTCGCGCCTCGAAGGTAATACATTACTTAAAAGCCGCGAACGCGACGAAAAAATTTTACTCGTTATAAAACGATAAATAGTTTGTCAAATTTTCATTCATAAAAATGCAGTTTCAACTTCTTTTTATTTTATAAAATCCATCCTCTTGCGCCACCAGACGGCCTTTTAAAGAATAGGTAGTCTGTTAGCACTTGTCAGTAGCAAGGTCTGATTTTCAAGAAACAAATGTTCGTTTGTTTCTTGAAAATTGGATCACGATTTAAATACAGTATTATTAATATTATCGATATGTCATCGAAAAAAAACGTGTTATATTATCATAAAAAGACAAATTAAAGTATTTGTTTCGATTATCCGAATTTTTCCTTATTCGAACTATTTTCATTTCCAATTAATCCGGATAATCGAGGTTCTACTGTATATATAAAAATGGAAGTGTGTGTCCCTATATTTCTCTTTTCAGCCAAAACTACACATGGCACATGAATGGTGTTTGTATGTGGTAGTAGCCCCAAGTCTCTATTCGTGCACTATGGTGGTTGCGTCACGATAGCTAGAAGAGTGCGGGAGATATGGGGCTGAAAGTGATTAAAAGAAATTGAAAGTGGTTTTCTATTTCGATTTTAAAAATGTTTGTATTTGTTCGAATTCAAATTCGAACAATATTCGAATTAAATTTCGAATATTGGTTCGATTATAAAACGATTGTAAACGTTCCAGAAACGTTGAAATACAGTAGAGCGTCGATACTCTAAATCAATTGGCGACTGGGGTTGTTCGGATAACCGATTATGTCAAAAAAATAGTTTAACGTTACCGATGTTAAAATTTTTCTCCGTTGCATGTCGCTTCGCGTTTAATTTTCGTGGATGTCAAGCCTAACGAAGACTATTGTATCGTTAAAAATTAATTTTTTTATTTTGTACAAACAAAATAAATACATTGAAAAATATAAAAACAATAAAAAATTATACTTCAGAAGTTAATTTAGTATCAAAAACGTAAAATATCTGAGTAGCCCAAGACATAGCCAAAGATTGCAGCGCCACAGCACTGGCGCAAATTTAAATTTGCCAACTAAAATTCTTTCGGTTGATTGACTTTCAGATAATCGACGCTCTACTGTAGTTCGTTTGACTGGACGTGAACAGGAGATGTTCAGAAATAGAATCGGGACCAGGTCTCTAATTAGTCTGGAAATGGGGGATTTAATTCTTGCATTCTGTGAAAACGGGTAAGATTGGCTATAATGTAATTATATTAATCTTCACTATCGTTACTTTTTGCCCTTAAATAAAAACCCAGCAAAGCGGGTCCTTGCAGCTAGATTCTAGATTACTTAAAAAAACATTCTTTTATATATAAAAAAAACTATATTACATACAAATGTACGAACAAATAAAAACCTAGCAATGCGGGTCCATGCAGCTAGTATGTTTATAAAAATCAGCGAGTCGGTCATTTAAAAAGTCTTCTTGGGTTAGTGTCTGACCCGTGGGTCATAAGTTTGCCACCACTGCAGTAGACCTTTTAAAAATTTTCTGTTTTCTTTTTCCATGAGATTATAGGAATGACTGTGAAAATTCTATAAAATATATGTTGGCTACTTTCAATAATAAACATTAACAAATACTATAACCTCTGTAAAAATATACTGGAATGAAAAATTCATATTTCTGTGTAATTCTTAAACAGTTTACAAAAGTTATTACATTTTGGAAGTTTAATTTGAACATTTACAGTTTAAAAGATATGTACAAACGATTAACACATTAAACGTTACAGTTAAGATATAAAAATAACATTGTATCTGCTATCGGAACATTAAAAAACAATTAAAAATGCATCACCAATCACAGAATTTTTTATAATGTTGTTACATCTCCATTGACAGAACTGTTTTTACATAAAAATAAAACGAAGCCCATTCAGTATGAGTCACCAAAAAAACATCAATTTTCTACTTCCGACTGGTCGGCCTTCTGTTTTTGCTTAGGCTTATTCCAATCGAATACGCAGTCGTATTCGTAATTAAGTGTGCGTATTAAATTGCTAAATAATTGCCTCAGGTACGTATAATTTGGTGTTTCATCAAAGCGGAGATTTCGACAGTAATTCAAGTACGCTGCAAATTCGGCCGGAAATCCCTCACAAAGAACATCTGCTGGTATCGACATTTTTTTTTCACTTATTTTTTCATATTTTTGTTTTTTGGTTGCTGCTTTCAAACCTAGCCACGGTAGACTTCCACGATTAAAATACATTAACACATATCCTATCGACTCCATATCATCCCTACGACTTTGTTCAATACCCAAATGGGTATTAATGCTAACATAACTGACAGTACCAGTCATACCTTTATCCTCACGATAAGGTATATGCTGTCCTTTGCGAATATATTTTTTTGCTACACCAAAGTCTATGAGATAAAGCATATTGCGATGTCTTCCAAGTCCAATAAGAAAATTCTCTGGTTTAATGTCTCGGTGAATGAAATTCTTATTGTGAACATATTCAATTCGTTCAATCATCTGATCAGCTAGCATTAAAACAGTTTTCATAGTAAAACGTCGTGAACGTATTGTAAAAAGTTTTTCTAAACTTGTTCCAAGNGAGGCTCTACTGTAATTTGTTATACTGTACAGTACATATGTATTATCTAAGGTTTTATTAAACATTTTTTCTAAATTATTGCTTTCTTTAGTTTCTGGCCCCAATTAAAATTTTTTGTATGTATTTATTAGTGTTGCAACGAATAGTATATTCGGCCGCATATTCGGCCAAATTATTTGGCTTGATTAACGCACTACGATAATTGGCGCGAAAACCGCATTACGGCAAGGACCCTGCTCTCTATTGGTCCGCTGTCGCTACGCTTCGCCAATCGCATTAATTATTGACAGTTGTAGCGGACAGACAAGAGTGTCATGACAGTATGTGATAAACGATGATATCAAATGTGGATAACAATGAAATGACCTACACGTGTAAATAACGAAAAAAGAACAGAGAAGGACTGCGAAAATGTGAAAATAAATATGAAATAGAGTTGATAACATAATCGAACAAGTCGAGGCAGCTTATTGGCGCGAAATTCGCGGCCGTCAATGCCAAACAATTGTTGTCATAGACTTCGGAAAGCTAAATGTTTGTAATGAAAGTCACTTAGCGTGCATGGGCCTGGGGCCGTTCGAGCTACCAAGTTGTCTCGAATCTGTGAAATCATAACTGTGACTTATACCGACGTACTATCTGTCTCTTTTCTCTGTTATCACCAAGCTATGAGTCACGTAATTGTAAAATGGGAAATCTACGACGGAAAAGTGACGAATCGAAAGTATCGTGAGCGCGTATTATGATGTATGCATAGGCGTACGCGGACTAGAGCGATAGAGGAAAGCGAAACGGAAGAGCAAAGACGGATAAAAAAAGGGGAGGAGGATAGAAAGGGAAGAGCAAAGACACTATTAAAAATAGGATAGGCAGGGTCACACCCTCAGATGTGCGACGATTCTCGAACGAATAGGTGTGTACATGTGCTGATCTTTGTAATTATAAATTGTAAAAACAAATGACTAATATAACATGCACAAAATAAATAAAAAAACAATAAGTTATAAATAAATATAAACAAACAACACTAACCCGATAACATTAAATCTAAATACCAAATTGATTAATTTACTGTGTTTTTGTTATTTCTTACTCCTGTTTTTAGGTATTCCGTATTTGGCCGAATAGCGAATAGTAACCGAATATTCGTTACATCACTACTATTTATATGCGAAATTATACCCCGACTTACGCGATAGGTGGGAACGAGCGATAACCGCGTAAGTTCGGGGTATTAGTGTATACGAATAATAAAATTAAATGCTTCTGGGGAGACAGTGACGTAAAATTCACGTGACACAGAGCCAATTACCTTGAGTACAGAACACTTATCCCCACCCGATTTATCCAACTTATAAGCTTCTAAGAACGTGAGTTCTTCAGCCTAATATTCTAGGTAATCCTGTTTAAACTTACTTTCAGTAAATGTTGCCAACTGCAAAAAAAATTCAGAGTATATCATCGCATTAGTTGGTGTTAAAATAAAATTATTCGTATAAACACTACGTACGTCATTTCGTATATTTCTAGACCAGTGTTCTTTAACTTTCTTAAATATGCGACCCCTTTACAAATTAAAATATTCTGGCGACCCCCCAGGGCCATATTAAAACTTTATCAATGATTTTAAAAACTACGTATTTAATTTTCTTTCTGTTGAGATCTAAATATCGATCGAAAAACCAATTGTACTGTAAAATAAAAAGGCACAACCTTCTCATTGAAATTGTAGGTTTTTTTATTGTAGTGTAGGACCTACAAACACGACTTTTTTTTACCCGCGACCCTCGTATAAGGCTTTGCGACCCTCCTGGGGGTCGCGACCCACAGGTTGAAAAACACTGTTCTAGACTTTAGTTGTTTTAATTGGTATTTAAAACTCGGAATCGAAACTAATTTACTTTCTTTGCAGTATTTAAAATATTTCGAACGTTTTATGAAATAAATTCAAATCTTCTAAAGCGTTCATCTGTTCGAGAAAATGTTTTGTTACCTTCTTAATTTAACAAAATTTTCATAGAAAAGAATAAGCGATTCGCAACGTATTTCAACTGAATTGTAGAATAATCTTTACTTCTAATCAAAATAAATTATAAAGGCAAGTGTACAATGTGCGTGCCGCTAAAACTCAGAAACAAGTCCCGGTACGATCAAGGGAGTTATATGGTGTGGATAAATTTGGTCGATGAGTTCGTTTTCAGCTGTGGCTACGTTGCAAAAATTACTGTTAAGTTCAATGAAGTTGGTCGTCTGGTCAGCGGGATATGTGCCTTCGCCTATTTGTATAAGTTTTTGAACAAAATGTTGTTTATAAACAAGAATTGTAAATAGAATATGTTTTCAATAAATTCTTTTCTCTCTTATATTTTAAAGTTTATTTTGTTATTTTAACTACCACGCATTCTCATATCAACTCCCTGAGCGAAGCCGGTACCTCAGGTAGTAATTGAATATGTCTTGGATAGCAATCACTTTGTGTCAGTAAATATGCCGAGGGAAAATTATAGAATTATTTATTATTTTAATGTATAAAAGTTTCTATAAGAATTAATTTAAAACATAAAATACCGTTCGCTCTCTATTATCTTAAAATCAATTAAATACACAAATATTGACGTAATTAAATTTCGAAACATTTTCCAATTTTATTAATTGACGTGTCCAACGTGCGATTTTTGAATTTTTCTTTGTAGCTACTGCATTTTATTTTATTTAGAACGTGGAACAAATTCAAATTTGTACCTCTGATATCGTTCCAGAAAATGTTTCGGTTTAAAATTTTTTGAGTTTATCAATGGCTTTCTTCATTAATCACAATCATAGCTTCGGGTCAATGGATTGTTTATCACAAGTTATCAAAATATTATTCAACAAAAAATTTGCCTGTGCTAGAACAAAATCCGAGGCAATTGTGTGTAATGTGATTTGCTCATACACATTGTCAAATTTTAAAAAAAATCTAGAAAAAGCAAATTTTATTTCCATATATTCTGTCGCATCTAATCATAAGGATAGAAGAATATTTCCAACCGTTATTAGATTTTTTAATTCGGAAACAGAAATAAAAATTAGAATTTTAAATTTTGTATTGAATATCATTGCCTGGCAAAGTACACAGCCCTGGTTTGTACACAATCAAGCAACTGTTTTTCAAAATGCTGTATAATTTATTGAAGATTACAAAATTTCGGTAATCGTAGCAGCAAAACGAAATTTAAAATTTTAGTGTCAAAAGCGGTTAGAAAATAATTTTCTTTCATTAATCATCCGTAATAGTATAAGTCAGTTAGAAGAACAAGGTGTAATAAATCGCGCAGATTTCGTAAATCACGTCAAAAAATTCTACAGTAATTGCTTAGATTATTTAGAAGAATGGACGGTACATTACAATCATATTGAACATTTTCATTGGGTCATGTTAAAAATTGGAAAGATGTGCAAAAATCATTCATTACATTAGTCAACATTTTTCAGGTAGCAATATNTAATTTCTTCAATTTATAGAAAATACGAATAAGTAATTAAAGCCGCTTCGTCTAGAACAGTTCTTTTAACTTATTTCTATAAAAATTCGCATTAAAAATAAACGTGCGCATATAAATAACGATTTTCTGGACTATCATCTACCCCCTACTACCCGTCGCTTCGGAAATCCATCTACGAAAAGACAGGACCTCACTTAATTCTATGTCGCGTATATAATCTTTTTAATTCGTTATTAATTATTTTTTATAACTTTTAAACTTTTTGATAAATCTAATATGTAAAATTTTCTTTTATTTTTTTTAATTCGTTCGTTTAAACGATTTAATTCTGAACATCAATTAATTTATATATATATATATATATATTCGATCTGTTTGGATTTGAACCCGGGTTATCCAAAGTGGTAGGTTGTTGCCTTGACCGTTTAGTTTTCCGGCCTTAATTTTTTTTTCTTTTTTTGTTTGGGTATTTTTATAGTCTATTAATTTTATAGAGACACAATAGATTAAAACTTCTGTGATGTGGCATTAAATGTACAGTATTTATTTATTTATTTTTTACACTAATTAATGACCAGACTTTTTCTTCCGGATCCCTGCAAACATTGCTCAAGTGACTACACCTTTTAAAAATTTGTGTTTCCTTTTTCCATGAGTTTATAGCAACGACTGAGAAAATTATATAAACTATATGTTGGCTACTTTCAATAATAAACATTAACAAATACTGTAACCTCTGTAAAATATACTGGAATGAAAAATTCATATTCCTGTGTAATTATTAAACAGTACAGAAGTTAAAATTTATTAGATGTTCGAAGTTTAATTTAATTTGAACACTTACAGTTTAAAAGGTATATATAAACGATTAACACATTAAACGGTACAAATAAGATACAGAAATAACATTGTATCTGCTATCGGAACATTAAAAAACATTGAAAATGCATTACCAGTCACAGAATTTCTTATAATGTTGTTACATCTCCATTAACAAAACTGTTTTTACATAAAAATAAAACGGAACTCATCAGTCCGAGTCACAAAAAAAAACATTAATTTTCTACTTTCGACTGGTCGGTCTTCTGTTTTTGCTTAAGCTTCTTCCAATCAAATACGCAGTCGTATTGGTAATTAAGTGTGCGTAGTAAATTGCTAAATAATTGCCTCAGATACGTATAATTTGGTGTTTCATCAAAGCGGAGATTTCGACAGTAATTCAAGTACGCTGCAAATTCGGCTGGAAATCCCTCACAAAGAACATCTGCTGATATGGACATTTTTTTTTCACTTATTTTTTCATATTTTTGTTTTTTAGTTGCTGCTGCCACGTTTCGCCACGGTAGACTTCCACGATTAAAATACATTAACACGTATCCTATCGACTCCATATCGTCCCTACGACTTTGTTCAATACCCAAATGGGTATTAATGCTAACATAACATGCAGTACCAGTCAAATTTTTATCCTCACGATAAGGTATATGTCGTCTTCTGAGAATATATGGTTTTGCTAAACCAAAGTCTATGAGATAAAGCATATTGCGATGTCTTCCAAGTCCCATAAGAAAATTTTCTGGTTTAATGTCTCGATGAATGAAATTCTTATTGTGAACATATTCAATTCGTTCAATCATCTGATCAGCTAGCATTAAGACAGTTTTCATAGTAAAACGTCGCAAACAAAATGTAAAAAGTTTTTCTAAACTTGGCCCAAGAAGATCCATGACTATAGCATTAAAATCACTTTCTTGTCCATACCATAGTATACGAGGTATACCGATAACACCTTGAAAACTTTCATATACTGTGCCTTCGTATAGTAGTAGTGGTGTCTTTGCCTTTCTTGACTCCAGTTTTATAGCAACCCGTTCTCCATTTGTGATGTCGATGCCAAGATAAACTTCTCCGAATGAACCACTTCCTATCTTACGTATGGATTGATACTTTCCACCGACGATAAATGTCTCTCTGGATGAAGTACTGGCGCTATCCATTTCGTTATAACGTATATCTAGCGTTCCACTGACTTTTTATAATCCTACAGTAATCTCGGCCAGCTTATAAAGGTACGTGCAGCTTACAGAATAACTGTAAACTTCACGTGCAGCTGACGAGGTGTCTGTAAACTGCACGTGATCGTTAAAAATAGTACATTTTGAAGGAAAATAGTACATTTTTTCAAGGAGATTCAGTAAGTTTTTTGAAATTTCATTGTGGCAACGCTGCAACGAGCATTCTTTGCTGGGACTCCGACAAGATATGACAGAAGAAAAATTACAATATAATATAATTTTAAATTACATTACTTTTAAATTTTTTTTAACATAATGAGCAAGAAAGGAGAATGCAAGTTCAACGATGATCTAAGAAGTGAATTTCCGTTTATTAAGAAAACCAAATGCGATCACATCGTAAAATGTGAGAAATGTAATTGTGAATTTTTTATTTCGCACGGCGGGAAGAATGATATTTCAAATCATTTGGAGGCACCGAAACATAAAAGGCATTTAAATATTGCTGCATCTTTCTCAAAAATACAGGATTTTTTCAAAAAACAACTTATGGAGACGAAGAAAAGCAATTAGCATTGGCAGGAGGACTTATGTCTTATAATGTTATTAAGCGTATAACTGCAGAATAATAAACAATTCTGGTACTTCGGCAAATATTCGGCACGCTCCAACTCGGAGAATTCCTCAGTGGAGTCTTCACCTTTATGTTATTGAAATAACGAGGTAAAATATATTGAGAGGATATGTTTATTTTCTAAATGTACTGTAAACTTAAAATGCACAACAATTAGGAACGAATAAAGTATGTTTTTTTTAAATTTATTATTTAGAATCTCTGCTTCCCAGAATTAACTGAAGGTATTGTTATAGAAAACAACAAATATTAACCTATATAAGCACAGAAAAAATGAAAGAGAACATATGAAAAAACAAGTGAAGATTTTCAACTACGTCAACNGTCCAATAAGAAAATTCTCTGGTTTAATGTCTCGGTGAATGAAATTCTTATTGTGAA